CCCGTGTCGAAAAAAAGCCCATGAGTCTCATTACTTTCCGGACCCGCTGTAAATATCACTCTGTGCGACGGTGTACCGTGTCCTGAACGCGATGTGGTTACTCAAATGGTAGTCGAACATAGGCAGACCAGAGCACCTGTCAGGTTGGGAATGAGATGCAATGAAGTCCGAGTTACACAGCGTAAGGTATGATACAGAAAACAACCGACAAGATCTAGCCTCCCTATCATGCAGAGTACTCCAACTTCGCTGTAGCAGAGTTCGTCAGAACAACACCCACGTTCACAAAAGGGGTGTCACTTACTCTCGTGCTTCTTCGCCTCGCCGACTTTCCGCGCCGCCTTCGTGAGGTCTTCCTGAATGACGTATTCTCTGTCGATGATCTCAGTATTACATAGGTGCGTAAAGATACACGGCGCACATACCGGTCGTCACGGATCGCGAACATGCCAGCCTCGGTCACGACGTTGCGCAGGTCAGCGCCGTTGAAGCCGTCAGACAGCTGCAAACTCATCTGTCAGTACCCAGGGAAGCCGGGAAAGCAGGCAGCAGGACGCACCTTGACAATGGCCTCGTAGTCGATCTCGCCGCTCTTGTTCACGGGTTGTGAGTGGATCTTCAAGATCTCCAACCGTGCTTGCTCGTTGGGGAGCGGAATCTCGATTTTCCTGTCGAGACGACCAGGGCGGAGCAGTGCGGGGTCGAGGGTATCAGGCCGGTTCGTCGCCATGATCAACTTTGTCTTCCCAAGCGAGTCGAAGCCGTCCATTTGGTTCAGCAGCTACGAGCATCCCGAGATATGATCAGCCTCGCGCACGCATGAGGATGGTAAGACGACGTACCTCCATGAGCGTCCGCTGAATCTCGCGATCCGCGCTCGTACCCTCGGAGAACCGCCGACCGCCAATGGCGTCGATCTCGTCCATGAAGATGACGCATGGCTCGTGCTCGCGCGCGTAGCCGAACATCTCGCGGACGACACGCGCGGACTCGCCGATGTATTTGTCGACGATTGCACTTGAGACGACCTTGAGGAAGTTCGTGTTGAGTGTCGCGGCGACAGCACGCGCGAGGAGCGTCTTGCCCGTTCCTGGGGGCCCGTATAGCAGGACACCCTTTGGTGGCTTGATCCCCACCCGCACGAACAGTTCCGGGTTCATCAGGGGGAGCTCGATGACCTACGCGAAGGGAGTAAGTCTCGCATTTGGTAGGCAATCTATGCCGTTCAGACTGTAGGGATAGTGTACATCCTGGATTAACCACAGGCACCCCGCAAGGGGCTGTCCAGTGGGGATGATGTCGGAAGGCACAAGTCTGAACGGCATCGTGACTGAAGGCGTACGTACCTCACGCAGTTCTCGGACCTGCTCGCCGAGACCACCAATACCTGCGAATGTTGCGCCTCCGGGGTCCTCCAAGCTCATCTTGTACACCATCGGGTCGACTTCTCGTGGCAATATGCGCATGATGGTAAGGGTTGTCATGTCCAAGCTGACACGAGTGCCCATCTTGAGCTTCGCCACTGGCAGTGTTGGGCGGTAGGACACGACATAGCGGGGCCCCGAGGACGCCTTCACGATGACTGACCGCACAAGTGCCCAGTTCAGCACACCAAATACAAGTGACCAGGACGCGAAAACGCACATCTCTCATCATCCAGCTGTTTCATGACCTCTCCGATAATCTGTCCGACCGACTGCACGGCCTTTATGTCGTCCTCCGTCTTCTCAAAGTCCTTCTCGAGATCCTTCAGCGAGAACCTGACTGCAAGCCGGCGCATCAGTACCATCGCGGAGCATACTGAAGGTGCACAACATACGGTTCTTGAGGTTCTGGCTGCTGCTCTCGTGTTGGCGCATTTTCTGTACCACTGTGAGCCTGGAGTTGCGTACTGACGACAGTAAACCTCACCTCTCTATAACCCTTGAGCGCATCTTTCTTGCGCTGGTCTATGGCGTGCGTAGACGTCGAGGCTTGTGGTGAGGACATTGCGGCAAGTGGTGGGCGTGAGTCGCGAGACAGCAGCAGGCTTCACGCCAAGTATGGGGGCGCGTCGAACGCGTAAGCCCACGCGTGACGCGCATGTGGTACCTTGTCTGGTACGGAAGATGCCTTGTTGAAATCATGACCATGGCCTGGTGGTCTAGTAGTATGATTCCTTCTTAGGGTGTCGACTGCCGTCCGCGCAGAGTATCCGATTGGAGGAGGTCCCGGGTTCAATTCCCGGCCAGGCCCATCATGTACGAAACGTTGAGTTTTTTCTCGCTCTTCAAGTTGTACTAAGTAGACACTACACGAGCTCAAATGTTTTACTTCCCATTCCGCAGACCAGCAACCGACCTCCCTCCACTGCGGCTAGGACTGATGTTTCTCAGGTTAAATTACTTTTCTGGTGATACATAAGTCCAC